CCTCCTCCTCCCCTGCTCCTGCTCCTGCTCCTCCTCCTGCTCCTCCTCCTCCTCCTCCTCCTGCCGCTGCTGCTGCTGCTCCTCCTCCTCCTCGTGCTCCTCCTGCTCCTGCTCCTGCTCATGCTCCTGCTCCTGATCCTCATCCTGCTCCTCCTCCTGCTCTGCTCCTGCTCCTGCTCCTCCTCCTCCTCCTCCTCCTCCTCCTCCTCCTCCTCCTCCTCCTGGAGGGCAGCATTCGTTGAGAGGATGCTGTGGTTGGGGCGGTGCTGGCGCACTCCCGCAGCAGGCCCTGGAGAATGCCCTCGAGGATTGCCGAAGCAGGGCGGGGCGATGGCCGCCCCTGCTGGCGGAACCCGTGCCGCAGGGGGGGGGGGGGAGGCCGTGAAGGAGGATGGGGGCGGGGGGGCGAGCTGGGGAATGGGCAGGCAAAGCGGAAGAAATGCAGGGCTCGCGGTAGAGCCGATGAGGGTGTTGAGCAGTGGGGAGGGGGGCAGGCTCGAAACGCATCTGCCCATTGCGAGTGCAGGAGACACAGAGACAAGCGCGGTCCAGCAAAGTCTATCTTGGCGAAGGGCCCAGCCAGATGCAGGTGTGAGTAACAAAAGCCCAGCCGCATGCATGTGCGAGTAATGCAATTGTGAGTCCGTCTTCGATGGAGCTCCCTATGGGGCCACGAAACGTGTGAGGAGTGTGCCGAAATAGGCGCGGGGACGCATATGAGCGCTGCAGATGTAAGAGCTTCACGGATTGAGAGCGGTTCCTTTTCGACATGTGGTTCTCGCCTCAGCGCCGCGTACATTCGTCGAATGTGTGGCAAGGCATTCACATTTTGAGGGCGGTTTCTTCTGAAAATGCGGCTCTCACCTTAGCTCCGCACACATTCGTTTCAAAACTTTGCCACGAGTTTCACTGGTTGTCATGGTTACCCTACCAGGAATGGTGCTTGGAATGATTCTGGGTTGTCAGGGCGCAACACTTACGTTGATTCGCGGTGTTGAAGTCTCAAGAATGGTGCTGGCACGATTCAAGACACAGGACCTGGATGGGCGCTCAATCCCCTCCTACTCCTCCGCGGAAGCGTGCACGCGCCAGAGCTGCTGACACCCGGGCTCCCTCCCCCCCGTCCTGGCGATACTGGAAACCCCCCTCCACCCCCAGCGAGGCCACCAATACCGTGTTCGCACTGCAGCTTCATTCGCCCGGGCCCCCGCACACGCATCGGCTCCAGGCTGCCCTCTGCCTCTTTGCGGCAGCCGCGCCGCCCCCCGGGCGGCCCCGCGCGGGCCCCGCCGCACGCCAAGCAGCAACCGTGCCCTCCACCAACAGCCCCGCCACCCCCACCAGAGCGACGATCAGACACGGGCCTCACGCGAGGTGGCACTGCGACCTTACCCGGTGGCTTGCGCGGGCCGCTGGCGCGGCACGCCACACTGGAGACGCGGGCGCCTGCGCGGGACCTCACGCGGGCAGCTCGCGCGCCAACGTCGGCGCAGGCGACCCCGTCCTGCTGCGCCGCTCGCCTGCTCACCAGGCGGCGTCCCCCCGCCAGGCGCCCGCGCCGCCGCCGCGCCACGGTCCCGCCCCCGGCCCGCGAGCCCCAGCGCACCAGGCCGATGGCCCCTGGCCAGAGGACCACGCGGCCGCGGCCAGCAGCGGAGCGCGAGCGCGCTCACGGAGACCGCGCCGCCCGCGCGCGGCGCTTCGCTGCGCTCGAGGACGGGGCACCACCGCGCCCGGCGCCACTCCGCAGCCCGGCGCCCACGCGCCGCCGCGGCCAGAGCAGCGGCCCGAGCAACTGGAGCATCCTGTCTTGGCGGAGCCCTCCTGGGGCGCCTCGCGCCAGGTGTACCTCGCCAACACAGGAGCCCCCTGAGCGGGCGCCAAGCGTTCCAGCGATTGGCTCCTGGCCCGCACGGGGGTCTGGCGCAGGCTGGTCGCGCGCTGTCTCATGCTTCGCCTCGCGGGCCCTCATGCGGCCGGATCGGACGAGCGTCTGTGAACAAGGCTCTCCGCTCTGACCTGGCCGCCGCCAGGGCCGCCGCCCTCGGGCCGTCCAAGCACGCGGCGGGCTCCAGGAGGGCCCAAACATCTCACCCTGAACCTGCCGGGTATTGTTGAGACTGAGGTGGCCAGACGAGGCCCGACGGTGCACGATGGCACGCTGCTGCAGCAAGGACCGCGCAGCCAGACGAGCGGACCCTCAACACGACTGAACGCACTGGGCTTGGGGGAGGATCTGCCGTAGCGCCCCCCCCCTCCTCCAATGCGCTCCGGCGCCTCGGGAGCGCTCGCGCGCACCTCCTGCCCCCCCCCCCTGCAGTGGGGCCTGGCACCGCTGCCGCTGCGGCGCACCTGGGCCCCGTGGTGGCCATGCTGGTGATGGCGGCAGACGCAGACAACGCTGAGTGGGCGACCCCGACGACGAAGCGACGATTGGGCGACGACTGGGCGTCGACGACGACGAAGACGACACGACGACGACGACGACGACGACCTCCACCTTCCTCCTCCCAATCCTCCTCTTCCTCATTCTTCCTCTCTCGTTTGCTTCAAATGTTTCCCTTCATCCTTGTCTCCTCCTGCTCCCCCTCCTCCTCTCATCCTCTCTCCTGTGCCGGGTACCTCGGAACACGATTCGACAGCAGAAGCGTGATCGACTAGGTCGTCCCCCCACCAACCTGCTCAAGCTCCTGCTTCTCCTCTTTCCAACATGCCGGCGATCACCAGCCTTACGCATGTGAGCGTCCAATGCGAGCACCCGAGCACCATTAGCACCACTACCGCAGTAGCCCGCGAGCACCGATCCGCGCCTGTGGCTTGCGAACACAACGCCATCATCGCTGTCGCGGAGCGGTGGTGCGCGCAAGCGCTGCGACCGCATGTTGCTGAGAGGCTTTGGTGCATAACGCGCGCGCTGCAACAGTGCCGAGGGCGTACTGCGCGGGAGGGAGGGGGCGGTACCAGGGGCGCTCTGTGGAAGTTGGCAGGGGCGGGCGTCACGCAATAGGGGGGGGTGAGGGTTGGGGAGGTTGCATCATGCGCGTTATGACCCGCCTATGAGAACAACACTCTCCAAGCCAGCCTGTGCGAGCTACTGCCGCGGGGCGCCCTCGGCGTCAACCTCAACCTCGACGATGCCGCAGCTGCCGCGTCCCTGCGGCGAGGCCCTCACATGCCCAACGTGTCGTTTGAGTCAAGGACGCGGATTTCCTCCGCGGGAAGATGGCGGATGGCCACCCCGACGAGGACGGCATGGACGCGGGGCGCTTCAGCGCGATGATGGCGGAGTGATTCAGCCAGGTCGACGAGCTCGCCACTGCGGCTGTCGTCGAACACGACATCCGACAGGTGGTCGGGGACGCCGCCACCGTACACTGCCGCTGCCGCGCAAAGGCGGCGGATAATCACACGCAGCCGGAGCAGGCAACTACGCGGCCGGCCGAAATCGGGCCAGCCAGTGCCGCGTCGGCAGTCAACCTCAGCCAGGAATTCGGCCAAACACTGGCGAATGCCAACCTCGCGGACGCGGACCCACTGAGCTTGAAAGGCCATAGGCCCCCAAGATGCCGACTACATCGACGACGCCGCCGATTACATCGACCCCGCGTCGGCCAGCGGCCGCACCGTAATGGGAACCACGGCCAGCCCAGAGCCGCGCGCAACAATGGTTCCCAGGGCTGACGCCGCTTCTGGCCCCGCCTCAGCAGCGTCAAGCGCAGAAGCCTCGCCAAGCGGAGGCGGCAAGCTGGAAGGGATGGTTCCCCTCCGACTACCGTCGCCGCCCTCGCGGCCGCGACGCTCGGCGGAGAAAGCTCGACCGTGATCGGGGATCTACTGACCGGGTCAATCCAAACCCGGGTCAGTCGGGTCCTCCAAGGTCCTGCAGGATCCTGGTCAGTGCACCCCTGGCTCTGCAGCAGGATCCTGAAAGGTCAAGCGCTCTGACTAACCCCCGTTTGCATTGACCCCCGACCCTTGAGCCCCAAACCCTGACCTGCCTGGCCCTGCACCAGCGGCAAGAGCCTGCCGCGGCCGGCCTCGCTGGAGCTAGCTCACGCCAGTGCGGCAGCGCACTGCCCCGCTGGAGGCACACATCCGCGGATCCATGACTCCGCCGCTCGCAAGCAAGCCGAGCGTCAGGCGCTGGTCGGCCGTCTCCGCGTCGCCCAAGCCCGCTGTGGCCAGATCGCAAGCACATCTCAGCGGCCGCTCTGCCTGCCAGGAGCCCCACTGCTGCCCGACAACCCGACCCGACACACGACCTCCCACCGAGGCCCCCCACCTCACCTCGAGGGCCCTCGACCGAGGCGCGGACTCGCTCATCCGCCGCCGCTCCAGGCTCGCCCAGCTGAGCCAGCCCAGATCACGTCTTCACCCCATGCCACCCCTCCGCTCCACAGGCTCACGGGTCGGCCGCGGCCGCCTCTCGGGTCCCGACCGAGCGGTGGCTGCTCCAAGGGGGGGGGTCTGTCCAGGGGAGGGATCTGCACCGCCTCCCAGCCAAGCCTCACTCGGGCGGACTCCCCCCCCCCCCACCCTCCCCGTCCTGCCCCCTCTTCTTCCTCCTCCACCTTCTGCTCATCCCCCCTGCCCCCCAGGGCGGTCCAGGGCAGCGGCACGCCATGGACGGCGGCGCTGGCGGCCTGCGTCACGCGCGGCAGCATCACTTAACCGCCGCGACCCGTCCAATCTCGTCGCTGTCGCCGTCGTCGACGTCATGATCGTCATCGTCGACCTCGTTGTCACCTTCATCGTCATCGTCGTCGTTCTGGTCCAGTAAGGTTATATGGCCCGTGTTGGGAACTATATTGGCCGTAAAATGGCAATTTCGAAGAGGGGGACGCAAAGAAGCAGCCACCCAAGAGACCCCCAAGAGGCCCCGTTGTTCCAAACAGCGGCTTCGCAAAGCCATGTAGAAACATCCCTCCCGGCTCGAACAACGGCAGATGTCCCCGCCGCGGGCATCGCGCGACAGCGGGAGGAAGACTCCCGCCACTCAACAGCATGCCAAACCACGCAACCACCCCAATGGGGCATCGGAACGTACGAAGCATTCGGATATACGGAAACAGAACGGGGGCCACGAAGGATGAGAAGAGACATATACGTATCCGACACAGTGCCTCTTGCACGAGATGGAGTGCCCCACGGCTCACGCAGCCCTGAGAGGTAAAAGGTCTGCAGGGTTCTTCAGGGCCCCGACCCCGGGTCCCGTGAACGCTCTGGGGCACTTCCGGGGCGTCTCGCGTGGGCCTCCGGGACGGTCCCTTCGCTCAGGCGGGCCCTAAAACGAGCCAAGACAGCCACAGGAGGCCGCCCAGACGGTCCAGGAGGGCACAGAATTGTCTAAAAATTGTCCCAAGACGCACAAGATGGCCTCCAGACAGCCCAAGAGGCCTCGAAGACGCCCCAAGAGGCCCCCAAGCGCACTCCCAAGAGGGCCCCCCCAATGATTGTTTTTCCTAAGGTTTTTGAATGATGTTGGCGTTCTCGCCCTTTCGGCTGCCCGACGCTCCAAGACGGCACAAGAGGCCCCCACGATTGTCCCGAGGCAGCCGAAGAGGGTTCCAAGAGGGCCCCACACGGCGCACGGGGGCCCCCAGACGGCCCACGAGGCCTCCAAGATGGCCCAAAAGGGCCCCAAGATAGCTCCAAGAGGGGGCCCAGACGGGGGACCCGAACGAACATTTCGAGCCCTCGGCCCCGAGAAGCAAGGAGGCCCCAAGCGGCCCCCGAGAAGCCCCACCTTCCCAAGAGGGGCCCGAGAGATAGACATCAATGGTTTCCCGTTGGTTTTCCACTACTTCTGCGGCTATCATCTTCTCGAACTTCCCACGCTCCAAGACGCCCCAAGAAGACCCGTAGACCGCCCCAAAACCGTCAGAGAGGCCCCTGCGAGGACCCCAGGACGGCCCAACAGGGTTCCAAAACGGCCCGAAGAGGGGCCCAAGGCAGCCGAATTTTGCCCCAAGAGGGCCCCGAGAGAATCAGAGAGGGAGGACACTAACCGAACATCCTATATGTTCCCCCAAGAAGTCCCCAGGCGGCTCAAAGAGGCCCCCAATAAGCTCCAAGAGGCCCCCAAGAGGCTCAAAAGAGGCCCCCAAACGGACCCCAAGATGCTCCAAAGCTGGCTCCAAGAGGCTCCGCCAGGCCCCCAAACAGCTCCCAAGACGCCCACATGAGCCCCCGGATCAACCCCAAGAAGCCCACGACGCCTCAACCGTGGACTCCCCTGCTCTTCTGGGGGTCGGCGGAAGGGCATAAGCTGTTTGATCATCCGGGCGAGAGGCGTCGTGCAACAGAGGCTGAAGCGCAGCAACAGGGCACGACTCATAACACCAAGGATATGTGCAAATCAAGAGAAACCTGCCGAAGCCGAAGCCGCCCGTCGCCACCGCCCAGTTGCACCCCCCGCATCGATTGCAATCGATTGCAATGCATTGCACCACGTAGATTGCACCACATTGTTTGCACCACGTAAGACTGCACCACGTAGCTCACACGTGTGCTGCACCGCATAGTTGGCTCCACATGATTTCCTACACTGACCCCACCACATAGATGGCACCTATACGACCACCCTGCGGGTGATAAGGAGGTTTGGGGGGCAGCGATCGATCTCGCTATCGCTCTCACTATCGATCTCGCTATCGATCTCACTATCGATCTCGCTTTCGATCTCACTATTCATCTCACTATCGATTCCACTATCGATCTCGCTATCGATCCCACTCGATCGATCTCACTATCGATCTCATTATCGATCTCACTATCGATATCACGATCGATCTCACTATCGATCTCTCACTATAGATCTCACTATCGATCTCACCATCGGTCTCATTATCGATCTCACTATCGATCTCACTATCGATCTCACTGTCGATCTCACCACGGGACACCACGGGACAACGACGGGACACCGGCGGGACACCAGCGGGACACCAGCGGGACACCGGCGGGACACCGCGCGCCACCGGTTGCCGGGCGGAGAACCTTTTGGTCCAGCCGCGGCCCAGCCACGACGGGGCCCGGCGGGACACCCGCGGGACACCAGCGGGACACCGGCGGGACACCGCGCGCCACCAGTTGCCGGGCGGAGAACCTTTTGGTCCAGCCGCGGCCCAGCCACAGGAGAATTCCTCTCCCCCGCCCACGCAACTTCGCCTCGCACGCACGCACGGCAAGAACACGAATCCGAAATCGATTTACTGGTAGGGGGGCTCTCCGTTCCACTTCGATCGCACCCCCCAACCTCCGATGTTAGCTCCACATCGATTCCACCCCATAGCTTACACAACATCGATCGTAATACATCGTGTGCACCATTTTGATTGCGCGCCAAATTAATTGCTGAGCAGACCTTACACCACACAAGTTGCACAACATAGATCGCATCACAAATGTTACAATACACATCTACATGCGTGCATACATACATACATGCATACATCCGTACGGACATACATCCATGCATGCATGCATACCTACCTACCGACCTACCTACCCACATACACATACGCATACGCATACACACATACACACAGACACACATACGCATACACATACACATACACATGCACATACACATACACATACGCATACACACACATACACATACGCAGACACATACACATACACACATCAACACATCGATACACACACATATATATATATGTAGATCACAACACACGCAACCGTCCATGCATGCATACGTGCATCCATACATCCATCCATACATACATATATACATGCATACATTCATACATGCATACATGCATACATACATACATACATACATACATACATACATACAGGCATCCATACATGCATGCATGCATACATCACGCGCACATGCATAACTACATGCGTACATACATACATACGTACACACATGCATGCATTCATAGATGCACATACGTACCTATACATAGACATGCAAACAATCACGAAAACAGCCAAACAGCAACAACACACATACATACATACATACATACATACATACATACATACATACATCCATCCATCCATCCATCCATACATACATACATACATGCATGCATGCATGCATGCATGCATGCATGCATGCATACCTACGCAAGCTTTCATCAATTCATTCATACAGTCACTCATACATGCTTGCATACATAATTACAAAACAAATACATGCATACCTAAATGCATGCATGCATACATACCTGCATGCATGCATCCATGCGTACATACATACCTACACATTGTACCGCACCTATTACACCACATAGCGTACACCACCTAGATTGCGCCAATCATGTTGCACCACATAGCTTGCAACACACACACACACATTGCACAACAGAGGTTGCCCCACAAAGTATGCTAGAACACAAAATTTGGTGTCCACGCTGGCTGGGTGCGAGGCGCCCCCCCCAGGAAGCGTTATGCTCCCCAGAGAGAGCGCGGGGCGCTCCCCTAGGGTGCGAGGCGTTTCCCCAAGGCGCGCGGCGCCCCGCAGGGTGCTAGGCGTTCCCTCAATGCGAGGGGCGTTCCCGGAGGGTGGGGCGCATTGC